GAAAATCACCTCGTCTTTCTGAAGCTCAATATTCGTGCATTTCAGAATGGTTATTTTGCACACAAAGCTGCAGGAAACGGTGAAGTTTAGCGTCATGCTGTTCTCCTGTAAAGCCGTAGATCAAAATATCGTCTGCAACACAGGTTGCACCATCTAATTCCTCTAACACTTGCATCAATCGCTTTTGGAAAAATCACCCGAGAGCTTCAAATTGAATGATAAACGCAGCCAACAATAACGCCCGAACGGTGTTGCAGTTGCAGTAAAGAAACTGGATTATTCATCTAAAACCATGTGCCAGAATGCGAAAGACTGGTCTACCTTCGTGAAACACTTAGTTTACGCCAAACGCGGCAAAATATCTTCTAGGGTAGGTAGTGCATAATGCACTCTATGCAGGGTCTCGTATAACGGTTTCGGGACAATACACATGCGCAGTGCGCCCGTCTTCTTCGTAATGATTGCTACTTGACTAACTCATTCGGTTGGCTCGTCAACTTTGGCAATCACACCCTCTCACTAATTTGATCAACTCAGCGCAGAATCTGTCACGCAGTGCAAAGAGAGATCTCGTAGACGGTAGTACTGTTGGTCGTATAAAAGGATCTAACGATAAATGAGCGGTTCCCTCAAATTTTCCCAAACCCTAGCTAAACAGAGATGGATACTAGACACTAATATCGTTTTCTCTCCGGCAAGCATGCAAGAAACGATCATGATTAAAAACAACAAAATCGTGAGACTGAATGGAATCAATGCCGAGAATCGGTGGCAGGTCCTCATCCACCACCACAAACTCCAGTAGACATGAGGCTCCATCCCATTGGTTAACCAGAGAACCACAGCTGGAGTTCCTGGCAGTGTCAGAAGACCGTATGCCAACTATAAGCATTGATTCCATCCAGAGACTTGGTTTTGTTTCTTTTAACCACGAGCCTTTTGTTCATTTGTGTGAGTCAGACGCAGATAATTTTGACAGGTATCCGAGTGTGTTTGACGGAGTAGTAGTTTGAGGGACGCGCTCAGTTGTCATTAAACGATTTCGCCAAACCAGTAGCTTTAACGGCTATGATGGTATTTATTGTTTTGCACGAAAAATTCTTGAACGAGCTACAACGTCTTTGCAGTCTGGGGGTAATAGCTAAAGTTGATGAGCCGACTGACTGGGTCAGCCATGTAGCGATTGTTACTAAGAAGTCTGGCGAGCTACGCATGTGTATTTATCCGAAACCGCTTAACGTCGCACTCAGGAGGGAATATTATACGCTGCCGACATGCTGCCGGTATTGTGCAAGACTAGGATGTTCACAAAAGTTGACCACGCCTCAGCGTTTTGTCACCTATCCCTAGACAAAGAATCAAGATACCTGATAACGTTTGGAATACCGTTCAGGAGTTTCCGCTGGCGCGGTTACCATTTGGGTTGAAAGTCTCCCCTGAGATATACCAGAAGCGGCTAACGCAAGCTTTGGACGTCTAACAGGGAGCATTCTGTGCAGCAGACGATGTGTTGGTGTTCGGCGCTACGAGAGAGGAGCACGATCGGAATAGCCATCGCTTTTTACAAGCGTGCGATGAAAGGAATACGAAACTGAAACGAAAGAAGATCGAACTGCGTTGCACGGAAGTGGTATTTCATGGGCACGTGCTAATTGCTGAAACTGGACACAGAGAAAATTAGAGCTATAAACGAGATGCCTCCCCCACAGACGTTAAAGCTGTTAGCCAGCTAAATGGGATGAGCAACTATTTGAGTCGTTTCCTGCTCAGACTAGCTGATGTGATGATACCGACCTGGAGGTTGACCCACAAGGGAGAAAACTGGCGTTGGGGTGCAGAGCAAGAAGGGGCTGTCTAGACTCTTAAGGAGCTAATTACCAACGCACCTGTTCTCGCCTATTATAACCCTGCACTCCCACTCTAGATTCAATGCGACGGCAGTCAGTACGGTATCGGGGCCGTACTCATGCAGAACGGCAAGCCCATTGACTTCTGCAGTAGAATGCTGACGGAGGCCGAGCGTCCTTATGCTCAAGTAGAAAAGGAGATGCTCGCATTGGTTTACGCCGTAGTGTTTCAATGACTATACTTTCGGCCGCAAGACTACCGCCTTTACCGACCACCAACTGTTGGTTTCCATCGCCAACAAACCGATTCATGGTGTTCACCGCTGCTTGCAGAGGATGCTAATACGTCTTCAACAGCATGACCTAGGGATTGACAATCGACCTTGCAACCAAATGCACATCACAGACACGCTATCGAGGGCATCTCTATCAGACACGCCAGAAGAAGAGGAATATTCAGATTTCGCTCACGCAACATAACTGATAGCTGTCACTGAGGATCGACTGAAGCAGCTCCAACAGTGTACGGAAGGAAGACGAGCTGTGTAAACTACTGAAACAGACGATAATGAACAGCTGGCCCGAGGATAAGAAAATGCTGCCCAGAGAGCTGACCCCGTTTCTCCATTTTCGAGACGAACTCATCGCCCAGGACGGATTGATATTCAAGGGCCACAGGATATTAATCCCCAAGGCGTTGCAACAGGCAATGCTGGAGCTCGCCCACTTTGCTCATTTGGGAACCAACAACTGCGTGGTCAGAGCGCGTGAGCTAATGTTCCGGCCAAATAAGCGACTAGGTTTCGAATTGTGTGGCGTGCCGCACACACCAAGTGCGTCAATCAAAAGAGCTGATGAGGCTCCTCGACGTTCCGGACAGGACCTGGCAGACGGTTGAAGTAGACATTTTCGTCCACGATGAGGAATTACACGGTGCTGGTCGATTATTTCAGTGAGTACTTCGAAATCGATGCTCTTGCTATTACCAGTACATAAGCGGTTGTGAATAAGTTACAGTGTCAGTTTGCTCGTCATGGAAAACCGGAAGTGGTGATTCGGACTACAGACCGCAGTTCACTAGCGCAGAGTTCCGTGCCTTTAGCAAAGAGTGGAATTTTCATCACCGGCTTACCAGCCCATACCCCAGCCAATCAAACGGGAAGACTGATTCGGCGGTGAAAGGTGCAAAGATGGCGCTCACCAAAGCGAAAGAGACTCACCAGGAGCGCAGAAACACGCTATCAACAGAAATCGAGACAATTCCGGTGCAGCGACTGTTCAGCCGTAGGACACGAACGCTGATACCAACCGCGGCGAATCAACACCAGCCTGAGATAGCGCCGGCCGATTCGTTACACAAGCGGCTACGGAACAGGATGCTAAGACAAAAGAAGTACTATGATCGCAGGTCGAGAAGCCTCCAAGCAATAGCAGTGGGAAAAAAGTATGGGTGCAACCACCACCAGAAACATGACTGGAGTGACTCAGAGCCGCAAGGGAGAGATGAATTACGAAGTCAAGATAGGGGGTAGCATTATTCCACGGAAACGGGTACAACACGGAAGAGCAGGTAACGGGCGGTTTTTATAAAACGATCGGCAGCAGCAACCGGAAAGGATATCTTTCACCTCGACACAAGGAAGGAAACTCACACGCAGCGGAAAACAGTATGGAAATTATTGTACCAATCTGAACAAAACAAAAGGAAAAGAACGTAATGAGGTTTGAGCAAATGGCCGAGCATGGTCGGCCCGATAGTCTAACCGCGGATCATGGAATGCAGCAAATACGCCGGAGCGAGGAAACCTCAAGCGACTGGACTTTGGATCACTGTGATGGGTCAGTAGCCAATGACGTGAAAGGAAGTCAACACTGTGTAACGGATTTGAGGAGTTGGCCGAGTCTGGTCTGCCCGACAGGCTAACCGCGGATCATGGAACATAGCAGATTCACCCGAGCGAGGAAACCTCACGCGACTGGACGGTGAGCAATCACGTGAAAAAAACCAATACTGCAGCGCGGCAAACATGTCAATAGCACGTTTCGTGCATCGAAAAGACGGAAGCACAGACTGGTCAGCTAAACGGTGGGTAAGCACTAACGACGCAAAGTCGCTATTAACGACAGATCGTCCGCATACCAGTAGACCGAGAAATACCACCAATCTGGTACCAAGCATGAGACACGGGCGACATCTAGACGCAGTCCAGCGATAGAGCGGACGAGGGGGCAAACAGGAGACAATGGAACAGAAGGAAAGAAAAGGCAGTCAATGAAGCTAACCAGTGAAATAATGCGAAATAACTAGTGCATTTTTTCTATAAATATGCGAGGCCACTAGCAATAAATGATTCTGCTGGCCGCCCCCGATACTTCGCTTTGATTGCCGTCGCGTCACACAACAGGGAGTTAGGTCAGTACTGTCCGAAAGCAGGAAAATTTCCCAGCACTAGATTACGCCGTGGCTAAAGGCATGAAAACCACTTTTCAATAGGAAACACCGCAAAAATACGATTGCTATACCGTCTAAGTGCTAGGTTAACATCTCACACAACACGCATACCACTAGCGCCAGATCACTGCTATATGGCACTCAGCGACACGAAGCGGGACGGAAATGTGTCCAACACGTTTAGGCAAAACGGATCCTGAATATTGCAAAGTGCTGGTGGCAGACGGATATGACTACGTTAAAAGCAAACCTACAACTTCTTTTCGATGCAATTCATGGATGTGTCCATATGCCTGGATAACACTCCGGGCTCTAGCCCGCAATGTCCCTGGAAACTGCACCGACGGTGTTATCTGGCCTGGTAACGAAACACCTGCAGTCAGAATGCTCAAATGTAAAAGAAGAATACAACTCTCCGAATTATGGATAATGTGTAGCAGAAAATGTAATCCATAATGATTTACTCTTCATGATGAGGGGGCGATGAAAGTCAAACGAAATAAAAACGCTTAGTATAAACAGTGTAACGGATGAGAAGGACAAAAGGGCAAAAAATTATATCGTGCATGTACAAGGATGATCAATCTTCAGAAGGAATGAAAAGATGGCAATTTTCGAATAACCGCCGGACAAATCGAGTGGAAACTCGGAAAAAATATCAAATCCGCAGTGTTGAATCGCACACAAGTTCAGGAGTCGGTTTAAGCATTTGGCTTGCAAGAGGTCGATGAAAGTCGATGCGTCTTTAAACAGCCAGGAGAGCAAAACCGGTAGTCCATGTACGTGAAGGGTACTTTCCCACTGATGTCACAAGCGCACTGGAAACAGCGACTGGAACAGAAAACCACATGGTGACGTGGATCAGTGTGATGTGTGCACGAACGTTCATGACATATGTCAATGGGAACAGTTAAAAGAGCAGGCCGGGGTTCCAAAAAAACGCGATTGTAAATTAGGCTTACATTCAACTCTTCCCAAGATGACCAAAGCCTAACGTGGTGTCACAACCGCCGTTAATATACACACACACACACACACTATACACGTTAGCTAGAGGTAGGAAACACCTCAGCTACTGTGCCGCAATACCTAAAAGAAAAAAGAGAATAAAATGCAACAGGTGCAAGCCAGATGAGCTACCGGTAACGGATGGACATCGTTCCGGTAAGCTACCTGCCGGCTACTATTCAGCAGAAAAAAGATGATTTACTGTGCAAAATTATAATGAGATCGTGGTTGGAGGGGGAGGCTAAGAGGGATGGGTAGGACAAAGAAACTCACAGCACGAACGCCACTGAGGTCGGCTCCTAGCCATCTCAGCAAGTGTATCCAGCCAAACGTGTTCATCATCTTTCGGACCCCAACCAGGGAGCCGAGACGCTCTAACTGATGCCAGCTCAGAAGTGAGGGCCTTTATTCCTCTCGACCAAGTCATCTGTTGGCCACCTCTCTTCTTCCATCCACACCCTTGGCGCGCAAACAACACACGTCGCGGGATTCGGTGGGCTGGCACGTGGCCGAGCCACCGGAGGCTGGTCCGTGAGCTAACGTGCTGCGCGATTCATTTCTTTTTCCTGTGCCGTATACAAGGCGTCGAACATAACTAGCCTCTTTATGTCCGCTGATCTGAGGGGCCAGGTTTCACAACTGTACGGTAGCGTCGGAGGTACCGCTGCATTGTACACTCTATCCTTCAGGACGAGAGTGATGTCGCGCCGGCGCCATAAGTGGCGAAGGTTAGCAAAAGAATCTCGAGCCTTGCCGTTGTTAATGCCCTAAAACGATTCCGATTTGTGAGAAAAGATAGTATGCTACAACACCCATTTGGGAACATATGGCCAGTAATGCGAACAAAGTCCGCGAGGCGTAGTAACAGGTCGGGGGATCACCTTCGACGGCTCAGATATGACGGAGTTCAACGCCTTGCGATTACCAATGGTATAGAACAACCTCACACATGTAGTTTAAAGCTGCAAACCCCAGCTGGATCACGAGCGCAACTCTCGCATTGTGGGACTTAAAGAACGGAAACATGGGGCTAAGTGTAAAAGCTTAGAAAATGGGAGAGTTTGCAACGCAGTGTTAGTCAGCAACTGTGACCCAAAGCAATGAAAAAGGGCTCTTTCAATTGACTCAATTTATGAAGCAAATTGAGCGAACATTGACACATGGGAGCACTGTACGATGTCACAGTAACGCAGTATACAACCAGTGGGACACTTGAATCAGCTGGAAGTCAAGCGAGCGGAAGACGAAAAGAGCAAGTACGTCATCCAACAAGTGTCTAGGGATGCACTAGCTATCTGGACAGTGGGTCTCTGTGTAGTGGTAGGCCTCCGAAAACCAGAATGTAGACTGGGCTGAGATCAGAAGGCAACATATAGTACACAAATGCTAAACATAACACTGTTGAATACTCGGTACACACTCGTAACAACGAGACGGGAGCTTCAGGCGGAGCATTTTCGTCATCCCCAGAACGATGCTAGTTAGTGTCCTTAAAGCGCTGACAGGTCCCCTCAGAGTACGCCGGCCAAGGAGAATATAAAAAATAGGAAATATCGTTCGCTTCTTTGGTCAGCTGATGCACGGGGTAGGTCGATGGCCATTTCCCCTCAAAACTCAAGCGGAGGGATGACAGAGTGTGGAATCGTCCACGTACTTTAATGTGAGTTGTCCACTAAATGGTTTTGGCTAGATATTCGGGAATACGCAGTAGAGATGAAGAAGCCCCCCAGTGACTTTTGGGTTTAAACTAACAACCAAGCGCCGGAGATGGAAAAACTCGAACAGGATCCAAAACTTAAGGGCGAGCAGCAGAGATGTCTCGTAGAGAGAGAAATGTCCATATGGTACTCCCCCATTTCCCGACCGCCTCTAAACTGTTGTAGTACAGTTCATCTAAGACCGATCAAGACAAGTCATCTCTTGATCTGCCACACATGAGAAGAACGCCACTGGAAGCGATTTACAGAAACCAGTTGACGGTCAGAGCCTGTGCATATTCTGCACTCCCTTCACATTGATTTGAATTGTGTTTGGAGCCTCGCATACAATAAAGTAAAGGCATAGCACGTTGCTGAGCACCTGTATCCGATTCCAACGGTAAAGCGTGCAGAGTTCGCGAGTTCGCACATACCAAAACTGTGGCCAGAGGTCGCAGCAAGCTGAGAGACGGTGGAGGGAGGGGGGTAATTTACAGTATTTGTGCCCTTGGATGATGAGCAGCAATCAGAGTTAGTACACATCTAGTGATGGCTGCGCATGGGCTCCGTAACCGGTGGTGTGCTCCAATGAGAAACAGCTCCAAACCCGGCAAATGAAAGATTTGCAGACGAATATCACACACTCATTTATTGAAAGTGCCACAAAAACCTCAATATATAGCTCATTCGAGAAAAATCATAAGTAGGGATGTCGATGTGGAGCGGATGCAAATTGCACACATAAATTATATCAACCGGGGTTTATACATAAAGGGAATGCGACATCTATATCAGGAGGACAAAATTTAAGTGCGCGTTTTCGCGCAACGCCACGGTTTTCAAAAAACACGATACATGATGGAAAAGTGGGCGGAAATGAGAGAAGGATCCGGTTCTCTAGGAGCTTCCTATGGCTCTTCGTCAATCAATGGGGTCTCTTTCAGTACTTTTCTGAAAATCCACCTGGGGAGGACGTCATCACAGATACAGCAGGTGTGGTAGAGTATCCGCTAGGTGGCCGACTACCAGTACGTTGGATCGGATCCAGCTGTTTTGCGTGCGTTACGGAGCGGACTGAAGAGTAGGGGTATAGCTTCGACATGCGCCTTGTAGGATCGAAGTGCATCTGCCGAACTGAGATGAGGACAGTTTTCACAATCATGGAACAGCCGATTTAATTTAGCTATCGGATTACTTACTAGGGAACCGCATAGATAATACTCGGATGGCTTCTCAAGGCCTCAGCCAGTTGTGGAGACGACGAGATGTTGGTTAAAGGAAAGATCTACAACGCTGTGGTGCAACCACGGTTCCTGTATGGACTGGAGACCCGAGCATTACGTGCTTGGATTAGGAGAATGACCATCTTTGACCACCGACGCCTGAACAGTGTTGATTATGTCGGGTCGGGTAACCGAATGGGCAGTGCTGCAGTTCGTTGGCTGGTCATTTATCAACGAGCCCTCTGGTGCCTTACCGGAGTGCTTGATAAACTTGAATTGTCTCCGCTCCCTTGGGCATGTGGTGCTCCGCATTGCTGTAAGTCGATGGTGTTCACCGATACGATGCCAAAACAGATAAAGTTTCGAGGTTGTCAATCAAATACATGGTGGGTTGGCATGAATGAACCCCGGAAAGGTGAATTAGGTAGGTGCTAGTAGTCTTACTGGATGGAGCAAGGATTTATGACGGGTACAAAAGCGAATGCTTGACATGTCCCGTAGGATGGTGAGGGTAAAAATCGAAATAAAAAATATCGTGTCAGTAAAAGAACGTGTGAAATACATGACTCACCAAGGGGTTTGGAGTAGCACAGGCAATATCACGTAGTGTAAGTGTGTCAGAGTATCGTCAAGGCACTTTTTGAAAAGGCATAAAGTAGGAGCATTTTTTAATGTTCCGGGAGGGCGTTCCAAGGCTGTGACACACATAGGGAGAATTTTCGTCGACATTCCAGTCGGCTGTATTGCGTGACCAGCTTAAACTGATGACCCGTTAGAGGTGTGTTTTGACTGAGTTCCAACAGAGAACGGCATGTGTGGTTGGGGTTTCTCAGGATCTGATACACCAGTATGAGATCGACTCTTAGAGGTCGGTAAGGTCCGCTGTATATTTTGAGGGTTTTCAGCCTGAGTGTGTATGGAAGGCGGGACAAACCTCTAACGTTCTTTGTCGCCTTGCGTTGTGCGGTATCGAGCGTGGTGAGGTGGTGCTTCTGACAGGGTTGCCACTATCTTATAGCGTATTCCGTGTACGGCATCACGTACGCGCCAAACATTTTCGGAAAGATTGAGGCGCCAAACTTCTCGAACGCTCTATGAAGAAGGCCGAAGTGTTGGTTTGCTTTGTTTGAGGCCTTTCCAGTCTGCCTTAAACACCCAAGGTCCTCTTGCAAAAGCTCGCCAACATCGCACTCATGAGACGCTCGCTGCAGAGTTTCTGATCCTAGGCGGTAGTTGTGAGCACTCTGATGGCGTATGCCCAGAATTTTGCACTTTGTGGTGTGGAAATGCAGCATGTTCTCCATGGAACATGTGTATGCTTTGTTCAGCTCATCTTGTAGGGCTGTGTGATCCTCCACTGAGGCGATAGCACGCCATATCTTCAGGTCATCTGCAAATAGCAGATAGTTTGAAGATCGTTAATGCAAGATCATTTATGAAAATCAGGAATAGGCGTGGCCCGAGTACCGAACCCTTAGGTACGCCGCACTGAAATTAGAATGGTTCCGACAGGGTGCTGCGAACCCTCACATTCAGATGAGGTTGAATGAGAAAGTCGTCTAACCATCCTAGAACAAGATCGCCGATTTCATAATTCTGGAGTTTGTGCAGTAGAATGCGAAGATTCAGGCGGTCGAATGCCTTTGAGAAATCCAGGTAGGCTGCATACACTCCAACATGGCATCCACAGATTCCGTCCAGCTTGCACGAGCTATCAACAGAAAAGTGGTGCAGGACCAATTTTTGCGAAATCCATGTTGCCCCGGAACGAGGATCGTGTTATTCTTCAGGTACTACATGAGCGCCTCAGCTACAATGGACTCCATGAGCTTGGAGATCACCGGAAAAAGTGTAATCGGACGATAATGAGCTGATTCTGCACGGCTACCACTTTTGTAGATTG